TGTTGTTGTTGTTGTTGTTGTTGTTGTTGTTGTTGTTGTTGTTGTTGTTGTTGTTGTTGTTGTTGTTGTTGTTGTTGTTGTTGTTGTTGTTGTTGTTGTTGTTGTTGTTGTTGTTGTTGTTGTTGTTGTTGTTGTTGTTGTTGTTGTTGTTGTTGTTGTTGTTGTTGTTGTTGTTGTTGTTGTTGTTGTTGTTGTTGTTGTTGTTGTTGTTGTTGTTGTTGTTGTTGTTGTTGTTGTTGTTGTTGTTGTTGTTGTTGTTGTTGTTGTTGTTGTTGTTAATCAAATAGATAAATCAATTTAGTAGTAATTCACAATGGCCAAATTCCCATTTGTATGGCAGTTATTTAACTGAGATTTAGATTTTGGGGTAACAATTAACTAAATTACACTATTCCACAAGTACAAAAATAAAAATGCTGTGTTCTTGCTGCACTCCAAATCACTATGGTAAGCCTGCAATAATGATTATATTTTGAGTTTTTGGGGGATTTGGTGGTAAATTTTGAGTTTGTCAGCAATTATGCTGCGTATTCTTGCTCAGACAAAATACCTTGTAAGACCTTCTACTATCAGTTACTAGTCATGACCGGTTGATCTAGTGGTAGCATACAAGTGAATACAAGTGGTTTGGGCTCTAAACCTGCTGCTTGGCTTATGCACTGCATGTGTATGTGGTGGCCTTACAGTTGGTGATGGACACTGTAGATGTTGTGGCAGTACCATCCTCATGTGAATACTTCCCGTGAGCTTCAGGACCCCTCAGTAGGGAGAAGAGAAATCACAGTCACCTCCTTTCTGGAATAATTATGGAGAAGAGAGAGAAAGAACAATTAGCCAGCTGGGTATTATAAACAAAGCAATTAATGTTATGCACATTAGCCCAATAACATGTAATTCTTTATCATTTGCTAATCATTTGTTAATTAGTCTGACTTTTTAATGCAGCAAATCAAGAGTGATTAATTTCAACATATTCTAGTATTTTAAAAACTGCATCGCAGAGCTGCACAGCATGAGTTTAATTCAGCTTCAACCTGTTTTATATATGGTTACATAATGCAGTTTCCCACAAATGCAATATGAGTCCCCTGAACAGTTAAAATTGTTCAGCTTTTCCATATTTGAAGAGATGTCTGGGATTAGTGAGCAATTTATTTCAGATAATCGTTACTCATACAAGGAGTTACCTGGGGTTGAGAGCAGACTGGTTACACCTTTATAAATACTTTAAAAGGTCATCTAACATCTGTATGACAGAGCTGTTTATGCTGCTAGCGGCTCAGTCCCACAATGAGAGTGACAGGGTAGACAGTGCTACTTACACAGAGGGGCTGTTCAACCAGGTGAGTGAGCCATTAAAGTCCAGGTGTGCTTCATCTCAATTACACCACTGCCTTGCCACTTAATGACCAACCAGCCTGCCCTGGTCAGAAGCTCCAGCAGGGGAATCTGGGAAATCACAGGCCACTGCTGCTGCCTTTTTGGACAGGGGTGCGGAAGCCCTAACATGACTGATTTTATGTCCTTATGAGGAACAGAAGTGGAAGTGATTATCCACATAACTCTTTATTTGAGTTTGTTTTCTTCTTTGCCAGGTCAAAGACAGTACTGTCCCACATCATTAGAGCACTGCAGACTAAAGGTACATTTACACGACAACGATGTACTAAAAACGGAAAAGTTTTTCCTTTGCGTTTTTCAAAAAAAAAAAAAAAGTTTTTGAAAACAATTGTTAAAACGATTCCTGTTCACACGGATCAATGGAAATTACGAAAAAGTCTGTATTATGTATGCCAGGCCAGTAGTTTGCGATGTCAATTTGTAAAGAAACACTATGCGCCTGCGCACATAGACTGAACGTGTAATACACATGTTCATTAAACCCGCTTTCAAAAGTTTGCATTTTCAGGCCCCCAAAACGAATGGCTAAAACGCATAAAGTGTTTTCCATTTTTAGTTGAAAACGGTGTACTGTAAACACGATCTTCGGCGAGGCCGAGGTGGACCTCTTCGCCTCAGAAGACAACTCTCACTGCCCAATTTATTTCTCAAAGACCAGGGACGCGTTGGCCCACGATTGGCCCAACCTCCTTCTCTATGCTTTTCCCCTGATCGCTCTGATCCCACAGGTAATCAGGCGAGTGAGGGAACAAGAACACAGGGTTCTCCTGGTGGCCCCGCTGTGGATGAGCCAGCTGTGACTATCGGAGCTAACTCAGCTACTGATAGCGGCCCCTTGGCCTGTTCCACTGAGACAGGATCTCCTCGCTCAAGCGAACGGGGCATTATAGCATCCTCGGCCCGACCTATGAGCCCTGCACCTCTGGCCGCTCGATGGGAGCCTTCGTGCCTTCTAGAGCGAGTCTTAAACACAATTTTGAAGGCTAGAGCTCCGTCTACGAGACGCCTCTATGCCTTACAGTGGTCTTTTTTCTCCGCCTGGTGTCTAAACAGCGGCAAAGACACCCTCACTTCCGAATTGGCAGAGGTGTTGTCATTTCTACAAGAGCTGCTGGATAAGGGACGTTCCCCAGCCACGCTCAAAGTCTATGTGGCGGCTATAGCGGCCTCTAGCGGCCTCTCATGCCCCTATTGAGGGTCAATCGGTGGGCAGAAATGGCCATGTAGTTTCACTGCGTGAATGAAAAGGCTTCAGTTCAGGAGAAAAAAGGCTTTTTTCCCATATGCGTCTTAAGCAAGACGCAGTACTCGTTCCCGTATCTCAGGGAACCGAGGTTACATTAGTAACCGAGTAGTTATTTGAGAACCAAATCAGCATATTACAATGATTTCTGAAGAATCATGTGATGCTGAAAACTGAAGTAATAGCTGCAGAAAATTCAGCTATGCCATTAAAGGAATAAAAAAAACATTCCCTTTCATGGGAACTTCGAACTGCGTCCTCTAGGGGTCGCTATGGGGAACGCCTCGTGCCTCGT